CTCAGATCTATGTAGAAACAGCAACTACGTAATTTTTTGACATTCGATATGGTTTCAGGGAGGAGGAAAAACAAAGCTCTGAAAAAATAGCTTTGCCAAAATGCAAAACACGATAAATGGCTTCATTGAGAAAAAACAGCATATTAGAGACTTGCTAGGTCTTCTTATTTCCCATCTACTCACTCCTCCCCTCCTCCTCCCCTCCCTCACTCACGGGGTGATTCATTTAAACTTTGAAAAATGTCACTCTGAAGTGGATATCTCTAATGTGTGAGTTATGCACAACGCATGTAGCATCCCACCACATGGTGGTTGTAATTCTTGAAATTCTTGAAAATCTGTACTACTAAATAATAAATATCCAGTTAATTTAAAAGACACAAGAAAGCGAGGAGTAACCACAGGAAATGAGCAGGCTCTAATCCTACAAGTCGTCAAGTAGAGCGCATGGTGTGCAATACGCATAGTAAGTCGCACATGACTTGAAGATACACTTGCTGACGCCTAATCGTGAAAGAAAGGAAGAAAAAAGATTGAAAATTGTAATCAAAAATACCGATCTGGGAAAGTCACGTATGGCGTGCAGAACTCATATTAGAGGCATAGGCAAAAATGGTACTCATGTCCTATATGGGAATTTCAAAATGAGCCCAATTAGACCGCTGTTCTACAAACTTGTGTGATATTCAAGCGGGAGATTTCTCAAATCCCGGCCCAGTATCGCAGCTTTCCCAGTGAACCAATCAGCGCCTGCGAGTACGGTAGAAAGTACGGTATGGTCGAGGGTTTAGAGCAGGACTTCTTGGCGTGCGCAGCTTGAGCAACGGTTTGATTATGGCCTCCCAATCATTTTATATATAAGAAACTTGGGTAACTGGATTATAGATGAATGGACATTGCCTCGCGTATAAATGGCTGTATGTAAGCAGAAGATTTGGGGAAGAGAAAAAAGAGAAAACTCTTCTTTTTTTTGAAAGCAAACAATCAACGTCTGTGTATGCTCTGCATGCATACACATACTGAAAAAAATGATGCTTCTGAGAAGACGGCGACGGCGGCAAATTGCCGGACATGAAATGCTCATCGTTGGGCTTTTTCAGCAATCTGCATTTCAAGCACTCACGCAAACGCGCATCCAACCAGGAACAATCTGATTGACGAGCAAATTTCGAAGGAAAGATGCTCAAAAATGCAGCTTTCATGGATAGAAGCTGCATGTCTGATTGAGCAATGCATTTTATGGGTTTTCGAAAATTTGCAGAATTTTTCGGTGCGATGCACATCTGCAGTTGCATGAGGCGCAGAGATAAGTGGAATAAAATCATCCTTGAAAGCCTGTGAAGCTCAATTTCGCAAAAAAAACTTCATCTTTCAATTTCTTTCAAACTGATAAGATCTCTAAAAACCTAGAACTTCTTCACAGGCTTTCAGGGATGATTCTAAAGAAGTCTAAGCTAGCTAAGAAGCGAGGCACCAGGATCAAACTCTAATGGATTTCAAATTGTGCTTTTTTTGTATTTTGGAGATGCGTAAATCGAAAAAATCATCGTTTCTTCCTGAGAAAGATGGTTTTTTGGCAAAAGATGTACCTCAGAAGCGGATTTTAGCTGATTATCATTTGAATGGAGACTTTCCGAAGAGTTGCTGGACAGGCCTCAACACACAGTTGGCTTACTGCATGGATTTGTTCAAACAAGAGGAGTGTAGAGCTTGGAGTTTCAGATTACTTATCCAAAAAAGCTTTGTAAATGATTACCAACCAATTTGAAAAAAAAAACATTTTTGAGCTTGCTGCAGCTTTGCAGTAAAGAGAGATTTGATTGATTGCAGATCTAATTTTATAATCGCGTAACCACCGTATAACTGAAAAAACTATGCGGTGTCCATTTTGAAAACTACTAATTTAGACCAATAATTGAATCTGAATCAACAATGCAGTTAAAGTGAAAGCTTCAGTAGACTCAAAGAATTTGTCGTGGAAAAGGACATTTAAAATATCTCCTAGCCCCAAACATCGGGTGATGTGCATCAGACAGTGAAATTTGTAAAATTTAAGGGGGCTTTGAACTGTACAACAGATCTGTGTGATTCTTGAAAGCTCTAGCTAAATTGCCCTAAAGTTAGCCAAATTAGGTCTGAATGAAAGGATTCAGTCTTACGTGGTCCAGACAGTTTCGCCCATTCGCTAAGAAGATTTTACGAAGGTGGAGATATCTTCGCATCACCTATATATTTTTAACACAAGAACGAAGTCTATTTCAAAGATGATGCGAATGACGAGTTAGAAGACGATTTTAGTTTTAGTGTCCTACATTCTTCGAAAAACGGAATAATCAATGAAGTGAGTTACATTGAGTGTCCTTTATGCTTATTTCTCTCATTCGAACCTTATAAGGACATCGAATTCAATCAAACTATCGCATACGATATGAAGATATTGTGCTATTACTTTCGGATGGAAGCGTGTTGGGCTGATCCATGAATAAGAGAAAGCAGACAGAACCCAGGGGGCTCCTTCCGATGTTCTTGAATTATTAGAGCATATTACTATCTACGACAGCTTTCAATCTTGCTGAAATTGCAGCTAAACATGTAGTCCATTTATAGTTATTTATTCAGTTTCATGTCCTAGAAGATGGCATGCATTGCCTAAGTTCTTTCAGGCAGTCTCCGAAACGATCAAAGAAAGGCACCTTCATTCTCATTTCTATGCGTATGGGTTGAATAAAAGAGAACATTATGAACTTTTGGTTATGGACTTTATTAGAATTTGCAAGAGATGAAGTTGCTTGTGGACGACAGCAGTGATTCTATATATGCCCTAGAATTCAGTCTAAGGACCAGAACTCGTCATAGGTGGGTAAGCAAGCTGGATATCGTTCTTGGAAGAACAAAGCAAAGAAGGTATCGTTCCTGAGGAAGAAAAGCCACAAAAAATTGTGAAGTTTTTTTAGTCGACGTTTCGTTTATTGAGAGTCTTTAACGTTTAGGGTTTGGGGTCAAAGAAAAGTTCGTAGAAATTCGCGAAAGTCAAGGGGACTTCGTTTTGCATTTTCCAAAAGCAACTTCGTGCCGAGCCCTGTTAATGAAGCTTATGATAAAAATTGACAGAATTAGCAAAAAGTTGTTAAACAAGCTGGAATCGCAAAAAATCTTCATCCATGATATTTCGGCGTAAAAGCTACTAATGAAGTCCCGGATATGCTATAACGAAATATTTTGGTGAATGTATCGGCTCTATAAATGAATAAAGAGGTTCTACCGCATTTTGAAGAGTGGCGAGCTTTTATAGGCGAATATGTAGCCTCTTGCAACTGCTCAAATTCGTTTTTTTTTCAATTTCTTAATAAAAATCACTTTTGGATCTCATACGAATGTAAAAAAAACACTACTGAAAAAGCTTGCAAATCTCAATATGAAGTTCTGCAAGTTTGCATTAACTGGATTTTCGCATTGGAAACGATTGCGAAATGAGGTTATCAAGGCGGCTAATGAAAAGGAAGAAACGGATAGATTATAAAGCGGAAGAGGAAACTTCTTAGAGTGAAAATAAAGTGCAGCACTCTTTTTGGAGAAGCAGCTCTGATATCGTCTAGACAAATGCGTCATTTCATTCTGCTCTATAAAAGTCAAGCAAGAGGATTATCCGTGAGATTTCTTTTGCTGGCATTGGCCAAGAATGATTTCTAGAACTGAATACCAAAGTTGATTGCGTCTCCAGCTTTATGCAGAAATCTATCATTTCATTAGCGCTTGGCTGGATAGCTGTATTGTTACTGGAAAATGAATAATGAGATCGTTTCCATTTCTGGAAAAGGTTGTCAGGTAAAGTTCAAAAATTGCTGTGAACTCATTAACCTTATAATGTGTACTTACGGTAGAATTCCCATTCACATAAAAGCTCAGATTATTGTACCTATAGTCGAGACCTGTTATGAGAAAAATGGTATGTAGTTCAACACTTGCATGGGATTATTAGATTCACTCACTTATTCTAAGCGGTCAGAACTAACCGCGAAAAATTCCAGGAGAACTCAAAAGAGTCAAAATGCAGAGATTTTTTGAAGTTGCGTACTGATTTGAAGCTGTAACCAAAAATGTTTGGATTCTGAAGAGTACGAAAACGTTAAGTTTCAACCTTCAGCAGCTCGACTTTAATCTCAAAGTGACGAACAGTGAAAAATGTGAAAAGTAAAAGATGAGATTTGCCTCAAAATGAGTCGAAGTTCGCCGCTAGCAATCTATTCCATCTCTTATTGTGAAAAAAAATACTTGGTACCTACAGAAATGATTTTATATTAACAGCGCATTATTTCGATACCAAAATCAGTCACACTCGAAGTCCTACAATTGAGCTCTTAACCCTTGGGAAAAACGGGTCGGTAGATCTAACCGTTGTGACTCCGACTTACTGCAACAAAAACGCCGATCTATCATAACTTCTTTCAGAGTAATCTCCAGAGACAGTCTTCGCTCTCCCAAAATTCTCCCAGAATAAACAGCACAACACTGCCCTGCCAATAGCAATCCAGAATATGTCAAAAATCATAGGAATTGATATTTTTCACGCTGACAAGGTGTACATATCGCGACATTTTTGTAATTTGCTGTTGCGACTTTGAAATTCCTGGAGCCAGGAAGAAGGTGTCCACTGACATTTTGGCACCGTTGTTGAAACATACCGTTAAGCATTTCCTATCGTCTTCCTGTTGAATTTCAAAGTAAATTCCCAGCTAACTGTTGAATTGTTGATCGTCTAAGCTAGCAAGGCTCAAATAGACAAGAGCTCAAACTCTGCCATAAGCTTAAAATCTTAGTTGATCTGATACGACCACAAGAGTTCAATCGAGGTGTTATTGAACTAAAGCTAGTCTAGTTATCAATAACTTTCTCGCTAGCACATGGAAGTATGTGGCTCCCCTCTCTAAACTCCCATTATTGAAAAAACTCGCTCTCCCACACTTCTCTTAGCTACCTCCGGTATCTGAAGACTTCCTTACCTGCGCTATCGGGTTATCAAACTTGTCGGGTTTGTCGTCGTCGCTTGGCGCTGGCAGATCACAGCTTCGGCCATGGCGACGATCCAGAGGATCTCCACTGATTACTGTCCTGAAACAAGCAGAGATCAATGGCTATAGTTTATGACTCGACATTTCTGGTTTGGACACCCAAGTTTTCCTTGCCTTAGATTAATAAGTAAAAGACATTAGATTGGCTGTAAAGGTATCACAGCAACTAAGGATAAGATCAAGATCCAATTTTTCCAATAAGGCTGCGTCCAGCCCGAGCCAGGACCGGTGCTGAAACTCAAGCGACTCGTAATAGACTGGGTTCCGGTACAACACCGGCAAGGCGCTAGAGCGGCGTTGGCACAGCGCCAGCACACAAATCTGGGCCCTGCATGAGAACCATAGTCGAACCCTACTATTTTATGACTTCACCATTTCTACCAACAATTTTACAATTGGAAGACAATGTATTAGGTTGGTCCGAAAGTTCTGTCCCACCATTTTCAAAAAATCGTAACTTCTTCCTATCACAATGTTTTTGCAAGAGTAAAACCACATTGAAAACAGCAATTTGTGCACTTTCTAAAACTACCTTGGCTGCCCTCTAGTAAGCTTCGAAAGCAGAGATAAAATTGGGAAAACGAAATCACTTCGAGTTCGGAATTTTTAAGCAAGCCCGTTAAAAAATCTAGAACTGTGCCATAAAATCCAAAACAGCCAGTATCCTAGACTATTTTACCCCCTCTTTCTGGCTGAGCAAAGTTCGCGCTGATCTAGCTGTTTTCCGAAAAGTTATGATTTTTTGAAAAAAAAGTCAAAAAATCAATTTTCTTAAGAAACTGATATTTTGGCATTTTTTCTTAAAAATCATAACTTCTTTCAAAAAGGCTCGATCAGCGCGAATCTTGCTCAGCTGGAAAGAGGGGATCAAAAACCTAGGATACTGCCTGTTTTGGATTTTATGGCACAGTTTTGGATTTTTCAACGGGCTTGCTTAAAAATTCCGAAATTGAAGTGATTTCCTTTTTCCAATTTTTTCCCTGCATTTGGAGCTTAGTGAATAGCAGCCAAGGTAGTTTTAGAAATTGCACGAATTGCTGTTTTTAATATGGTTTTACTCTTGCAAAAACATTATGTTAGGAAGAAGTTACGATTTTTTGAAAATGGTGGGACAGAACTTTCGGACCAACCTAATATAAAAAATAATATAGAGGAACCTAAAGTGTATAAATCGAGAGCAGACACTTGACACTCGCATTGACGGCAAATGTTAAACTTGAGGTTGAAAGTTCAAGGAATTATACGTATATCTGACCACATTGAAAATTACCGTGTGTTTGTTTGAATCGCATTTGCGGGACAATAGTATAACACCAACAAAAACACTTTTTTGTCATTTCCCTTACAGAAGTTATGATTGCTTTGCATTTCGTTACACTCGCAAGTTTCACATACTTATTCTTTAATTTTTTAAGCACGATTCACATGCTAGAATAGCTTATAGAGGAAATATCAACTCCAACAACATTTTTCCACTACAAAGTAGACAAGCATTGAAGTTATAGTTAGTAAGATATTAACAAAGATAAGAGGAGCAAAGACGTAAATATAGGGTCAGGAAGAGGACAAGAATGTTTCCAACGGCTTAGCACAGTACGTACCGATATGGTGTGTGCAGTACACTATCAGAATATTTAGGAATCCGATGTCGTCCACCATTTCGGGGTCGCCTTCCCGTTCGAGGATCGAACATCTGTGAAACTGGGTGATAAAGACGAGGCTAGTGAAAAGAGCAGCGATATGCTCGATTTTTACAAAGCAAAGAGTAATAAATTGACAGCAGGTGAAGTATGTACGTAAGAAGTGGGAAGCAGTAAAGTAGAAGCTGAGACATGCCCTGCAGGTTGCAGAACTTGTAGATTTTACCAGCTGTCTGAGTTAACAGAATCAAAAGTGCGGCTGCACGATGAAAATCTAGGATATAAACAGGAAACTTGAAGCATTGAAGCAGCTTAAGTGAATATTTTCGGAGTATATCTGATGAAGAACGGTAATTATCTCACTAATGGCATGTTGTAATTGGAATCAGATGCTCAGAATTCATGGTTTAAACATCAATCTGAGATAAATCAATACGAAGACAGCTCAGAGATTGATAAGGAAACGAAGATTATTGAGAAAACACAGCTTTCACTTCCAAAGAATTTGCAGAAAAATGATTGTAGATATGTTCTAGCAGAATGCTGCTTATATGGACTACTTTAGTGTTTCCGCTTTCAGGAAGCTTCCTCTGAATTCACAGTTAGAATTTCTGAGTAATGCACAAAATTTCCTGGCTTTGAAAGATTGCTGATATTAAAATCTTTAAGACCTACATCTTAGTACTCTTTTTATTAGTTAAAGGATCAGCGTCAATGATAAATCAAACGTAGTGTTGAACGTAAAGCATATTGTAGCTCAAATATTTCACACTAATGCTCATGGAAAACTTTCTCAGCACTCAAATACACAAGTTGAGGGCTACATTTATACACAAGTTTTTACGAATCTAATCTATCAAGTTCCATGAGAATTCGAGCTTAAGCTGCAAAATCGACATCCACAGTTTTGTTTGTTTGAGTAATTGCAAAGTCAAGCTTATTGAAATTGAAATGGCTTCAACGAACAAAAAGGAATTGCCAATGATACCGACTTTTCAAATAACGTCAATAGGATCCATGAACATTTGGAGCAAGATTTTCAAAGTATATAGAAAATCTAGTAGATGCCTTCGTTTCTAATGATCAAACAAAATTTCCTATCCATCGAAAAACTACTCAGACAGTTTTTTCGGCAGTCTAAGCAGAAGTAGCACAACGTTCAAATTATCTGAAAATCAATTTATCTTCTGAGCGTAGGGGAATAATGCTCGGAGAGCGGCAGCAGGGCTTATTGATCCCTGTCATAAATTTTCTTGATTTTATTGGTTTACCCTCTAGCGTCTAGATAACACTAATAAATATTAGCGAGTAATAAATAATGTTTAATGTTTATGCAATAATGTTTATGTCCTTCAGATTGACGTTATAGTTTCATGAAAACAAGTGATTTCTGAACAGAATCATAAGCGAATTTCCCTAGAATAGACACAAGATTGAAGCATGGAAAATAACATGACCTAAAAAGTCCGACAGAAGATTATACAGAGTGTCCCAAAAAGATGTGCACACTGTTTGATCGTAAATAACTCTCTTGCTTTCAAATCTTTTGCCGACCTTGAGGTACCATTTTGTAGAGCGAGGATAAACTTAGATTTACAGTATGGAGCGAATCATCAATCGCTCTTCATTACTGTAGGATTACGGTATGAACTTTCAGTGTACAGCGTCACTGAGGAATAAACCTTTTGATGAAATAATTTCGAAAAAATCTAAAAATTTGTGTAGCAAGGTTTTCAGGCGTGCTGATTTCACTACATAACTTTCCACCAGTTTTTCGAGCTTTTTTGATGGCCTATTCACATTTCTGAAAACAATGGAAAATCAGTTGTTACTTCAGATTTGAAATAACTCACGAAAGAAACAGTGTACTGACGTGCTATTTTCATATTTAGAATCAGCAACTTCGATCAACCAAGTTCAAGAATTTCTGGCTTGTTTAGCTTTCTTTCTGAGGCAAAAGACCGCTTTCAATGGCTTAAAATCCTTTTCGAAATTCCTACCGTAATCCTACAGTAATGAAGAGCTGCTGATAAGGTGCTCCATACTGTAAATCTAAGTTGAGCCCCGCTCTAAAGAATGGTACCTCAAGCTCGGAAAAAGACATGAAAGCAAGAGAGTTATTAACAATCAAACAGTGTGCACATCTTTTTGTGACACCCTGTACAGTATCAAATTCTATCGTAACATTCACCAAAAAAAATTCATCCAAGTACAATAGAAAAGTGTGCCCAGAAAAGTCATTACAAAGGTAACTTAGAAGTCATTTTGTGCATTTTTTTACAACAACAAAATGACAGTTCCTCTAGAGCAATGCAGTATCAAATACGCTGTCTCAAAAAGTAACACGAACTCATCTCCAAAAAACATCTGAGTAATAAATCAGTAAAGAAAGAGAAAACAATCACAATCAGAAACAATTTGTTACAGTAAGTGCTCGTTAGCTTGAATGAGAGCGCACTGTGGGTCAAATAATTCTCATGGAACTTGCCAAAGTATTGGCTCGTTCCAAAGTACATGGCTATTCTGCAAGGCAATCCATTTAAAATTAGCTTTTTATTTGCGTACAATTTCCCCTTTTATTCGAAATGGTATAGCTAGTGTCCAAAGCTTGTTGGGGGAATTGATGGCAATTTTTTTGTGTAGCAATTCAATTCTACTCTTTAGCCGTAGCTGCGGAAAAAAAATACAAATAAAAAGAATCGTACTAACTGAGGTTGACTCAATTTGCACTTAAAATAACTTCTCCAGGTTGTAAATAGGAATAGGAACGGAGGGGCAAAAAGGTTTACCAGTTCTTGCAAAAAGCGAGCTGAAAAAAAAAACAGAGCATTTTTAATGGATAATATGTAAAATGTAAAGAAAGTGGAGGAGGAAATACCACTCGTAGCCAATGCGAATGATTTTTGAAGGACATAAACATTACGATTTATTTATTACTCGCTACTATTTGTTAGTCCTATAATCTAGACGCTAGAGGGTAAACCAATAAAATCAAGAAAATTCATGACAGGGATCAATAAGCCGTGCTGCGTCCGCCCTCCAAGCCTCATGTCTGTACCCTCAGAAGATAGATTAATTTTCAGGAAATTTGAAGGGTGTGCTACTTCCGTCTGAACCGCCGAAAAAGAAATCTGCCATTGCTTGCAGAATACACAATGTTCCTGGTATGTCAGTGAAAAAGCAAACAATGGAAAATGCTCGATCAGTTATACTTACATGAATTGAAAATAAACGTTCTCACAACCAAGTCTACCCATTTATAAGTCAGAGAACACATGCAGATAACAACTTGTGCAACTTCTAGAATGTTCCTCATATAAGCCCCACATTTAATACCTCCTCGTACCACGATAATTATACAGTAGTATTATTTTATTGAATTTTTCGAATACCCGTCACT